GGAGCAGTGAATCACCATGTTCTTCCTGTTGTCTCTGTGAATAATGCAAAGTTTGTAACTCTCCAGTAGAAATACGCCTACTCATATCTGGGAGAAGTAATGCTTCCAAAGACAGGGAAGGATCTCTTCCTCCGTTTTCTCTTTGTCTCTCCTCTGTGTTCAGATACCTAGGAGAATGGCTGCTTTCTGAAGTAAACTCTCCTCCCATCGTTGCCACTCCAGCCACACTGACATCCACTAATGCTCTTTACAAAAGATGATTTCTATTTCTAGCAGGACTAGCAGTCCTGGGAATTAAAGCGCGACCTCTTTCCTGTCAGGATAGTTGCTGGTGAGCACAGCAGTGTCTAATTCAACGTGCAGTCCGGAGGGAGGGAAGGGAGCTGCCACTCTGGAGAAGAGGGCAGATTTTCATCAGGTCGTTAAAGGAATGATGTAGCAATCCCTCCCTACGCAAAGCAGGGGATGGAGATGTCATTTGTGACTCAGTAGGTGGCACTCTGTTTCTTGAGCCAGCACCCAGCCAGTACTCCTGCCTGCTCTTCGTAGAGCGGTTGGGTTTGTCTTTGGTTTTGGCTTTAGCAAGATATGTTCGTTAAAGATCTGTTCTTGTGAGGTTAGGAAGGTTGGCTATGGTGTCTAAGCTAAATTCCGTTGCTGACGAGAATATCCTGGCTCTCTGACATTTTCAGTTAGATGCATTTTTATATTTGCTTCCTTTCTGTGCACTTTGAGACAGCACCTCAGTTCAGCCCAGAGTTGGCTGCCTTTCAGCAGAAGCTGAAAGCATCCAAAAAGCTTTGTTAATTTAGAGGTGAGGGTGCTCAAGTCTATTTTCTCTTGACAGTGCAAGAGAACAACACTACAGAGCGAGAACAGAAGTTAAGGCCACAAATGTGCCCCACTCATGGGCAGGCTTTGACTGCCAGACTGACATGGTGATGCTGACCGGGCTAACCTTTGCAGTTCACTATTTCCTCCCCAATTGGTCTCGATCCTTCCTGAGCTCATGCACTATAATTGGTTACACCACATCATGAAATAGTTTTGAAAAATCAAGGTTTATTTAATTAAAAGAATGACATCTGAAAGCAATATTCCTAGCCTGCTGTTACATTATGCACTCGACAGAACAGAAAGATGATCTAACTTTCAGGTCAAAACCCACAAACTGATACCTGTGAAGTGTACATAATATCAAATCAACTGAACGATGCCTACTATGTTTAAAGAGCGTATATTCTGGAAGTGTATTTGCCACATTAATTCTCAGACGCATTCTGTTACAACTAAATAATGTATGAGGAATTAAAAGATCGGCGGTAGCGGTGCGTGTTAAAATGTGATTTTCAGATCTAAGAAGAGTGCGTAAAGTAGGATGTAGTGTAAAAACCAAGTATGTTTGAACAAGATGCCTGGTTTATATAGCGCTGGCTCTTCCCTGTGCTGTGAGCTGTTCAGTCGCACTGAGTCAACTATAATAAAGCACTACATTCATACTTATTAATTTTTTATGTAGGCTTTTGAAAACAGGAAGAGAAGTGAAAAGAAGATCGCATATCAGAGGAAGATGTGCATGAGATGCATCTCTCAAACTCTTTTTTATGCCATATGAATAGCTGCAGATCTGGTTAGACTCAACAATCAAATTCAGATCCTAACCCTTATTTAACCTCAGACTTCCGTGGACAAATCCCATTTTCTTAATTTTGCTGTGCGGCTTCTCTATCTGCACGACAGGGATAATAACTTTATCTGCCTCTTGTGGGTGCAGCATAGCCAATTTCATCACTGTCAGTTCTGTGGAATCCCTGGGTGAAAGGAACAACAGAAATACAGAAAACATGGATTATTAATAGCTGGTGCTTGCCCTTACATACATCACATACACCGTTAGTCATTCTGGCCATCAGAAAAGATGTTCCTCAGTGTAAATACAAAATGACACATGGATGATATTAGACCTCTGAGGTGTTGCGGTCCCTGAGAGTCTATTCAAATCCAGTGTTGCCACCCTGAGCAGATCATGATTCATATATGGGTAAAATTAAAATGTGCAGGAGCTGTGGAATCTGAGTAGTTAGATTTTAACTTCTAGGCAGTTTGCATTGCAAAGGCAAGTGCATTTCCTGTACTGGAATTGGTATGCAGACCAAATTGTTGGTGGTTTTCAGCTTTTTCTGCCTCCTTCGTGGAGTCCAAAGGCTATCTCCTCCCTGACACCTTGGATACCCCTTTATTAGCAGGGGTGCATTGGATACAAAAGTTTATCTTGTGTGTTTTGTAAGTGATGGCTTTAGAAGTCACAACTCAGGGGAGCCTGTGACAAAAATCTTGAGTCACTAGTACACCCTTGAGAACGGTGGTTTAAGAAACACATGGCAATGAATTTTAGCTCTTCATCTTGGCTTGCCCACATTGCAAACCAAGATTCTCTGTAAACGATTCAGCAGTAATAGCAGACTGGGACCGAAGAGCATGTGTGAAGTGAGTTTGAAGATCTTAGAACTTTAATAGCAAGAAATGCTGCAAATCAGGATGCAGGACAGCTGACCGTGGTATGACCATGCTTGACTATAAGAGACTGGTGTAGCAGAAAGTGCAACAGCCAGGCAGAAAGCATTTCCTAGCCACTGTTGTCGTTGTCCCCAGTTGCCACTACGTATTGAAATTGCCAGCCAGCATAAAAATAAGAGGCACAAAAAATCCAAAGATCTCTGAAGAAAGCCACTTACCTCTACATCTCTGCATGTCTGGCCATGTCTGTCTCATGCCATTAATTTGAAACTTGGGAAAAATAATTTTCTTTGTGCATATCTCCTTCTGTATCCCCTAAGGCAAATTAAAGATGGCTGGGAGGTTATTTATTTTCGGTAATAACATACACACTGCTTCCAGACTTCCTGCTATTGTGCGATTATCTAGATTAATTGACTAGGAAAGCTGCAGCATCATCTCGGGCCCTTAATAAGGAAGACCGCAACATGGATTTATACAGTATTAATGCATATTACTGTGTGACAGGGCCATGCTCTTAGAAGCATATGGACAAATCTCATTGCTGAGTGTCTACCAGCACCAACTGTACCTTAATATTAAGCGAAGGATTGCATGCTACCTTGCCTGTAGGGGCATGACACCTTGAGAGCAAGAAAGAGATAGTCGATGACATTTTTAGAAACCTCATTAGTGGATAACTTTGCTCATACTGAAGTCAGTTCCCAGCAGCCTCTGCTGAATGTTTCTGAGAATTGCTGGTGTGCTGCTGGTTTGTGACCCGGTCTGTACGTGTGTAATAGCTGGAATCGTAAATATGCTTTTTAGGTGCTTTAAAGTGTTATGTTCTTAACAGGGAGAGAGAATCTGTACAGAGAAGGCTTTTAAGGCATATTCTGCCCTTTTTGTTTTCC